AATTATTATGATCGTAGCTGCATAAAATGTCTTTTTGATCACTGCACTCAACCGTTCAACAGAAGAGGCACCTCTCTAAGGCTTTTTTGTACCGAACAGAGCAGAAACTGTGATAATCGGGATACTGTCATGTTCTGGTAGGTTATCTATAAATAGATCGTTTTACTGATCCACCAGGCACTCGACTAAGTAATATATCTAGGATAGATAAACAATTATCTTCCTCTTCTACAGATGTAAGTGATATGCTATTCTGAACTTCATTCATTCGATTTAAAATTCAAGTGGCAAAACAAGGCTTGTCACTTATGATTACAATGTCGTCGACAAAGATTCTATAGAGTGGTTCATTTTCAATTAATTCTTCTGATAAACTGTCAATGTACGACTTACAGATATCTGCTAAAAGTGGACCTAATGGATTTCCCATTGCAACACTATCAATCTGACGGAAGCAGTCGCCTTCAAATGTCAACCGAACATTGCTAGTACATAGAAGTAATAAATCATTTAAATAAGATATGTTATAGGGAATGCAATTAGAAAATTCTGTGTGTGGAAATGTAATCACAACACAAAATGTCAATTGTTTTAAATAAAGATACATTAGTGAATAAAGTGTTCACAACAAAGGAATACATGTTTCTATTTATAATATTAATAGCATCAAGGTAATCAATCACGTCAAATGCATCTTTTAATACGTCCTGTACAGAATTGTCTTTTCACGTGGTCCAATAATTCCATTAACCATTGAGGAAGTTTATGTATTGGTGGTCTACACATTGACAATACTAGGACGTAGAGGATTACTAAGTTTATGTGTTTTCGGCGAAACAATACATATGTGGGAATTTACATTCTGATGGTTATAAAGAGGGCGTAACATGAAGTCTATGGAAGCCCTAAAAATTTGAATATTTAAACCACCATTACATTAAACATTCTTTGGTAAACTTTGTCTTGATACCAGGGTGTTAGATGTACTTTTACTTCCCTTCCTTTGTTTACTGATCTTTATTGTTACGCTGACCTTCAACATGTCCTTTTAAATTGAGCTGTTTTCTCACCCCTGAAGATATAAATATATATTTCTGCCGGTGGGCTTAGGAATTCAAAAGTCGAGTCCCCAAGTGTGCCATAGATTTAGATTTCGTCTTTTACATTACATATTATCGACAGTAATTTAGAATGGCTATGGCTTTAAAATTAGGTCCGATTGCCGACAGACATTTTCTTCTCTTAACTCAAAGAAGCGGCTAGTTGAATGAAGTCATCAGCAACAATCAAGTTGTGCACTTTGGTTACGTCAATAATGCAGTTAACACTATTGATGCGAATTATGGATGCAAATGTATTATAGACCAAATTTATATAATATCCATTTTTCGCCTACTTCCTTTTTCGGTAAAACAGCAGGAAAACGCACACACACACGCACATACACACGTAGAGTATTGACGTCTTAACGTCTTACTGATTCAATGAGAAAATGGATCACTTAGAAGAAATGTGTATCGGGAAAACAGGCATACACGCACTTCCTTAGTTATGTACCCGTTAGATATTCATGAAATATATTACTAAATACCTTGCTTGTAGAGCAAGAAACATTTGAACAAAAAATTAATTACCGAAAAAATTTCAATAAATTTCTGATTCTTTGGAAGAGATTCGATAAAAAGGAAAACATAAATCAACCGGTTAGAAAACTGGAAACGAAGAAAACCGGAGCGTACAAAGCTATTGTTGACAAAATTTCAATTAAATAGTGATTTATCAAGCGAGATTTTGATATAGGGACTATTGACAAAAGATTTTCGAAAGACATTCTATGCAATGCAACATTTCGCTGTCACTTTATTAGTGGGTGTATGAATATGATTCAAACTGAGAAGCCAGCTACCTTCCTTACGTCCGTATATATATATATATATCGGTGATATTAGATGGTTGGAGGCAATTTCCAGGAAGCCTTGCTCTACCTACCTTTCGGGCTAGTTGGCACTCATCACACTAGTTACTAGTGTCCAATCGAAATTAGCCAACACAGTGAGTGCAGCAGGAAGTCATCGAGATCAATTGCTGCCAATGGTAACGACCCTGACTGCCGGTGGCACTGGTTGGCACGACTTTGAATCTCAGAAGGGATATGAGTTCCTTCCTTCAAGGCTGCAGATACGTCTGCCTTGCTGACTGGTGAGTGCTAACTAGTACGACACCTAGGTCGAGCAAGGCTTCCTTCCGATTGCCTCCAACCACTAAATATCAACAAATCAATGTGCATTGTGATGGCGAGATACCTAGAATGGTGGCCACATTGCATACATGACTGCTAGAAATCAATCTGCACTAAAGAGAGGACTAGATACATCACACTGGTTACTAGTGTCCAGTCAATATATATATATATATATATATCGAGCTGCTCTCCTGGAGATAGATATTCCCCACAATAATCCCTCTTCATAAATTCGAGCTGGGAGAAAACAAACATTGGTGCACAGAAGCATGAATCCACTTTATTCTTGATTGTCATCAGCTGTGTACAACCTATAATCTTTAATAGAATAAGTCAGTGTAAAATGTGAACGTGTCTTTGTTTATCAACAGACATATTGTAAGAGTGTGTAGCCAAAAACATCAACAGCTCCATATTACACCACCTGCTTCAAACCGGCCACAAAGCCAGCACTGAAGAAGCCTTCTCCATCATCTATCGAGTACTGAGTAAATTTCCAAAATCATACAGATACCATCTGATCACTCCAAACAGCAGAGGCTATCGCGATCCCCCTAAAACAACGGGTGCTCAGTCGGCAGAAGAAACAGGTCCAGCCACCACTACTACTGCTCTGGCAGGCCTTTTGTCGAGCCCATAAATTCATGAATTCCGTATTATTATTATTTTTCCTAATTTGTCTGTCTTATATTGAGTGTGTAGGGTTATGTTGATGCATATTATCACGCTTACAGATGCACGCTACTGAACTGTGATCTTTTGGTATTATTATTGATTCGATGTTATTTTATGAAACATTAATGTTGTTAATAACCCTAATTCTGTCATTATTATGGATGGATGCATATATAACTGTATAACATGATGAAAAGCAGGTTATCGAAAACGGGAATATTCTTTGTTCAGTAATCTCAGTCTTTTGAAGATTATTTTTGTCAATAGTTTATCCTTTAGTTGCTGCTACTACATATTTATAAGGATTTTAGGCATCCCTTGATTGATTTTAAAAGCCGAAATTTACTACTGTTATTATTGTTGTTATTGTTCAAACGGTGTGTACTACATCCCCCGTAGGTAATTCATAAGTAATTTATAAAACTGTATTGTGTAATAATTTATGAAGTAAAGGAAAGGGCAAGAATAAATCACTTTGCATAAGCAGAATAAGTGATACACTTATCTCTCTCTCTCACTAAAACTGAATTTCCGACGAAAGTTATAACAATCAGTTTCCGATAACTAGAACATGAATTAGGACCGGAGTGAAAAAAAATAAGCGAAACTGCAATTTCCATTGGTGATGAGTGAATTACCTAAATACATTTGCAGTAGTTCATTTCCAGTTTATTTATAATTACTGTAGGTATCTGCCAGGATGACCCTCAGTGCTTCGGTGTTCAGGCTTCAAAGCTGTAGCTTATTAGGCTCGGAAAGGTTTCACTCCACCTTCCTGGCGTGTTTCCACCGGCTTTAGCACTCGTGGCTCAGAGGTAGGATGCTCGCCGACCGCTCATGGGGTCAAGGTTCGCTCCCCGGCTGACGCACTCCCAAACCTCACTAAGCCTCTAACAAGACCGGTAAAGAGGTGAAGGCTAGGCATGAGGCTAGCAACACCGCACCATAAAAATAAACACTACTGCTACCGAAACTTCACAGCTCCAGCTTGAAGTCCTATGTCCCCCTGGGAATATAAAGGATTGAAATAAGAATAAAACTATAGTTATCTATTCCGGTTATGATGATGGGTTGTATTGTTGTATTTAACGATTGAATGTAGGTTATAAAATGTGGAGACTATAAATTTGGGATGACTATATCCATACTTGACTAATGGAATTCAGTCTGCACCAAACAAAGACTAGAGGCACACTACACTAGTATCCAATCAAAGTCTACGGAAACTTCAGAACTCAAGCAAGCTTGGAGCCCCTTGTTTCACTCGGAATGCACAGGCTTTGAATTCTATATTATTTTCTTCGTTATTTCTCTCATGTTCATTCCCAATCTAATTTCCTCATGGTCATTCATATATACTTTTGAATAAAGTCTGGCGGATAATTATTCACTAATTATACGTCCTTTATTTGTTTGATTTCATCATTTAAATCCTCTGGCTTACACTAGTTAGGCTCCTGGACCGATTAAACAGGCATTCAACTAAACTTATCCTTGCCAATTCTGGTGAATTCTGGGGTGAATTAAAGTCTAAGTATTTTGTATTAGAGTCTCTTGGTTTCCTATAAATGCTAGTGTCTAACCTCCCACCATCTTGTTTTCGTTTTATTCAACAGTACAGCATGACTAATTCATCCTGTTCATTTTCTAACTCAGTGGGACAGGGTGAAGGTATTAAAAAGTAATATACATTCAGGTGGAGACAGAGAGAGAGAGGTTAATCACTGAAGCATTGTTGGTCGACTCAACACCGCACACATGCGATTGAAATGATGCAACGCCATCTATACCCGAGATATGGAAAGTCGCAACAAACAACAAAGGGAAGTTGGAGGGACCGACAGAGGAAAAATACGTGTAGAAAACAAATTGTGAAACCGTGCTGGATAAAAATGATTGGTGATTATGACTGGCAATAATAAATTATGCTGGAAACCTTGTCATCCAGTTGTTAATACTGCATCATCATCACTGTGTGTGATATTTCAAAATAAACTTATCTAATATGGAAGGAATTACACATTCTACCACTATAGTGACCAAGTGTATCTACACTTACATTGAATGGAAACAGACAACCTACCTGTAAATCATTTTTGTTTTACTTCCACCTTCGTATTCTTGCATCTTGTCTTTCATCATTTGAATGGCATCCATTTCATCTTGACTATTATTATTATTATATTGGATTAGATTAGATTTTGTAGTAACAGTTAGTTATGCAACATTTCAAAATAGTAATCTATTCGTCTAATTTATATTTCCATGAATTCTGGCATTAATTTCAATAAGTGTTCGAATCTTTGTGTAAAATTCTAAGAACAATTAAATCTACACAGTGTGTAAACCTAGATCACTGCAGAAAGCATCTCAGCAATGCACAGATGGGCGCTATTCATTATCAACTGGGTGTGTTTATTTGTCCAAAATATTATTATTAACATCATGATTAGTTTAATTGTATCTCCCGCTTCTGTGTTTCTCTTCTATTCTCTTCTATTTACATGATCAACAGATAAATCGTCAACTGTATGTCCGTGTGTGCATGTGTGCGTGGGTGTGTGATTGGTATCAACTGATGATTGGGTAAATATTCCCATCAGTGCCTACAGTCAGTCAGTCACTTGGTTGGTTGGTTGGTTAGTTAGGTAGTTAGTTTGTTGCTTAGCTAGTCAGTCAAATCAAGACGTTGTCCTCCACCCCTACCCCACCCTCCTTCCTGGAGCATTATCCTTCATTTCGAATTCAACTTTACCTTTGATTGGTTAGATTTCGACAGTAAAATGATTTTCATTCACAAATAAGAAGGAATCAAAATTTAAAAAGAACAATAAACACGAAAAAAATAATTGAAGAAAGCATCTTACACAAATAAGTTACGTAATAAAAAAATAACCAGTCTCTGAATGAAGCTGAATGGGAAGGTAATATATATTCAACTTTAAAACAATTGGTTCCCTTGGTGAATTTATTTTATTATTATTTTTATTATTTATTTTATTATTTTGATTACAGCTTGATGCCACACCGTATTTTCTGTACAAGTATGGAATTTTCAGCATGGATATCGGTAGCCCAAATTTTGCAGGCCGACCATAGATATCGGGTGTGCGTCGGCAGGGGATCGAACCTCGGACCATCTGCATGGTCGGCGAGAGTCCTAACCACTGTTCTACCGAAGTACAAAGTAATAAGAATATGTAATTTGTCATAATCGTGTAATCTATTCGAGCAACACATTTCGAACAATCTGATCACACATGAACTTGTCATAAAAATATATATATATGAAATTAATAAAGAGTTAAGAGGTGAGAAAATAGACCACTTAGGTCAAGTTAAAAGTCCGCCATATTAAAGACCAAAATAACAATGAAGTACACCATACGAAAGACGGGAAGTAACAGTAAACCTGTCCTGGTATCAAAACAACGTTTACCAAGGAAGGTTTAATGTAATTGTTGCTTTGAACGAATAAAGGTAGTTTAAACTTACAAATTGCAACAACTTCCACAAACTTTAGGATGCCCCCCAAACACGTTCTATAGATAGTATGTAAACGAAGTACAAACATCAATTTATATCCTGTCTCTGTAACATGTTATGGAAGCTCCTGTTCTCACCATTAATGGGTTCTGGGGATTTGATTGGCTTCTGAAGTCAATGTATGCGTGTCCTCAGGTACATTCATATTGGTAAATACAGTGCGATTTGACATTATTTCACGTACGTTCAAAGGGCTTAGATCGATAAATGTGGTTCACATTATCAGTTATTAGGATCCTAAGTGCAGAAAAAGTTTTTTTAAATGAAGCTTTCAATCTTTGTCAAGTTATCAAGCTGCTATGATGCCCCATATAGGGTAGCTTGATGTACACGTCCATCTTAGGGGCGAGTTACAGAATGGGTCTTGGTGTTCTGACTACTTTATATCTCTGCATGAACTTGTCTGGATAATTATTATCAACCAGAGTTTGTGTCAATTTTCTTTCTTCCTCATCAAGTTTGTCTTCAGTGCATATTCGTTGGATCCTACTGAAGAGGCACCTCCCTAAGGCTTTTTTGTACCAAACAGAGCAGAAACTGTGATAATTAGGATACTGTCCTGTTCTGGTAGGTTTTCTATAAATAGATCTTTTTATTGACCCATCAAGCCGTCGACTAAGCAATATGTCTAGGAAAGATAAACAATTATCTTCCTCTTCTACAAACGTAAGTGATATGCTATTCTGAACTTCATTCATTCGATTTAAAAATATATTCTACTATAAAGATTGCAGAAAAGTGGATTAAATCAAAATCGTGTCTACACGAAGAATTATCTATTGGATTGCATGATGCATGAGAAAATATTTACTTTCTCCTTTGTTGCTATAATACTTAAAATAGATTTTAACGTTTGATTTCTAAAAAGATAGGGAAGATTATTTATGAATAATTTTTAATTGATTAAAGATGTTCATTAGAAATTTGGAAAGATTGTGTACTGAACAAAGAATATTCTTTTCGATAACCCTTTTTTCTATAGTTTGGTTTGTAAGGATTAGTTATGTTTTACGAGTTGATCACGGACTGATATCAGTTAGAGAACCATTGAAAACCAGGGAGTACTGGGCAGCTGCTGTTTCATCCTAGTTTGGGAATCATCGGCAGTACGCACCCACTGGGATTCGAACCCGGGACCTTCCGGTTACAAGGCAAGCTCGTATACCAATCAGCCACTGGGACCCGATTCAATGGCTCATGAATTCTAACTTCTACCAATTCGTGATTTCAGCGCGACCCCAACTATTGTCGTTGGTGGAAATCCACCCACACGTGACTTCTAATTGGATTAGTGAGGTCTAATTAGAAGTCACGTGTGTGGATGGATGTCCCACCAACGACAATAGTTGGGGTCGCGCTAAAATCACGAATTGGTAGAAGTTAGAATTCATGAGCCATTGAATCGGGTCCCAGTGGCTGATTGGTATACGAGCTTGCCTTGTAACCGGAAGGTCCCGGGTTCGAATCCCAGTGGGTGCGTACTGCCGATGATTCCCAAACTAGGATGAAACAGCAGCTGCCCAGTACTCCCTGGTTTTCAATGGTTCTCTAACTGATATCAGTCCGTGATCAACTCGTAAAACCCTTTTTTCATTAGGTTCTACAGTAACATACATTCATAATAATAATAATAATAAGAGAATGATTGTTATTGACAATTTGAGTGGTTTTTAAAAAGAGTAACATCGAATCACTGACATCAGAATTGCAAACAGATTATAGTTCGAAATCTGTGTGTGCATGTGGTAGTATGTATAATTGTAATAATAAATTGAACACCAATATTACAAAGTGAATGACAACGAATGCACTGTAGTCATGTACGTCATATTAAATTCTTAATGAAAACAAAACACGTAGATCAGCGAAGAGTCTCTTTTCGGCGAATTCATTTTCTTAGCTGTACAATCGCAAATATATATGTGTTATTTTGTATTTATGTGTACATTAAGTTTGTCAAACAAAAATACAATTGGTTATGGTTATTTTAACTAAACAGGTGAAGATTGGTAATTGTAGTTACGTAATACAAAATCAGTCAAGAAAATTAAGTGTTAATGAAATTAGGGTAGTAACAAAGGTGATGAGTTGTCACAAACAGTTGTTAAAAGAAGTTATGTAATAATATGAATAGTTTGATGAGTGAGTTTTACTCAGGATGCACATAGGAACAAAGTAGATAATACGAAATTACGTAAAAGTTCTAAATGAATACAAGAATTATAAGCAATTAAAGAACAGGCAAAGAAACAAAATTAAGTCATCAAAATAAAAAAATCAAATCAAAAAGCCGAGCATTGACAATTTACGACTGTATAAAAGATACGTAGACGACATATTCATTATTTGTGACAACAACAATGACCCCAATCTACTGCTGAAGACATTTAACTGTTGCCATCCAGCAATAAAATTCACTCTTGAAATGGAAAACGAATCAAAAATTCCGTTTCTTGATGTGGAACTAACAAGAAGAACTGATGGGAGCCTAAGAAGATCGATCCATAGAAAACCAACTAACAAGCTTCTATAGCTGGGTACCCATTCAACAAAAGCGGAATTTAATTAAATCACTTGCCACCCGCATCCGATGCATCTGTAGTTCCGATGTTCTGGAAACAGAATTAGATATTCTAAGAGAAATTTTCATCCAAAATGGATGCCCAATAAGATTCATTGACAAAAATATCAAACCAAGAATTGGGAGAAATGAAACTTCACTTGCGCCGAAAAAGAAACTCTACATGAACTTGGATTTCAAGGGAGATTTAACAAGCGATATTCTTAACAGAAGGATCGCATCATCTGATCTACGTGTTTTGTTTTCATTAATGTCTGGATGGGGATGATACATGAATATTAAATTCTATTCATATTGATTATAAACTTCAGATGGATGACTGTTCATGTCAAGGACGGAGGGAGAGTAAAAACGAATTTTCGGGCTGAATTTTTTGCGCGTTGTATGTGAGCCAGTGTGTAAGTTAACTACTGCGTTTAAATAAGAAAACAAAAGGTTAGTTAATGCAAGTTTAATGACAAGGGGTAGAGGAATTTATCTGTACAGGATGGAGGGCCCTGTCAAAAAAGGCCGATGTAATAAGGCGTTTATGAATTTGCAGATTCCACAGAAGGCCAGGACAGTAATAGTGGCTGGCTGGGTCTGTTTCTTCTACACACAGAGTACCAGTTGTTGTAGGCGGATAGCAATAACCTCTGCTGTTTGGAGTCTTCGGTAGTTACCTGGATGCCCTTGATAGAAGATGAGGAAGGATTCTTCAATGCCAGCTTAGTGGCCGGTTTGAACCAAGTGGTCTAATATCGAACAGTTGATGTTCTTCACAGTACCTTTATTTAGTCACACGCCACTGCTAGGTGTTCCCGAAAAATCAAATTTCTAGGACAACCGCCAACATAACTCGCTACACCAAAAGCGCAGTTGAATTGGTAGATGCAATTAGAGGTGGGTAGTCTAGGTACTTCATCGTTCAGTTGATGAATCGCAGCCGATCGTGTAGAAAATAAAACTTGTAGTTTACCGGAATTAAAAGCTTTTTGAATAGATTTTCCCAACTTGTTAGTAATTATTCTACTCGTTACGTCACGCTTGAACCGCAGACGTGTGTATAAA